CCCTGATCCAATCTGAATCGGGGGGAAGAGGGATAGACGAGGGAGAGAGAGGCGTGGGGATCGTGGGGGGTGGATTGGGGGGAGGAAAGAGTGGGGTGGGTTAGGGTTACGATGGAGTGGGAGGGTAGATGTAAGCGGGGTGGGCTGGCCTGGTTGGAGGCATGGTCGGCCAGCTTGGCCATTTGGCCCGGGGGGCTCTTTCCCTTTTTATATATATTTCCTTTTTGTTTTTCTCGTTAACCTTTTATGTTTCCCATTAGTTTCATTTTTATTTATTTTTTGGTTTTGTAAAATATGAATCTAGCCCCAAAATTAGTATTATTAAGTATGCCACTGCCACAAATAATTTGGCACTCTAATTAATTAGTTTGCATATTTTTACTAATTAAAAGCATTTCAAAATATGTTTTAGCTGCTGTTTTATTTATTTTTGCACACTTAATCCCTTCGTAAAAAGATGATTTCTCCACCAACATGTTCTATGGATTATTTGCCAAAGTTTGAACATTTTAGTTTTCATGTTTGACAAATTTGAATTTTTGACATTAGAATAGAATTTGAATTTGGACCGGATTCGAACCAACGCAAGTTTAACAACAGTAACCGAGGTGACATGGCATCATTAATAGAGAATTACTGTAGCTTAATTATCCGGGCGTCACAATACGGTTCGGCATTGGAGCTCGACTGCCAAAAGACAACTCGAATACAATCCAGCGTTGGAGCTCGGCCGCGAGAGGACACAACCGCATGGGAAACACTTCAAATCCGAGGTGTGGTATAAAAATAACAAGGCATTGATAAAGGCCGGAGACCTAAAGGGCTCCTCGGATACCCAACGTGTGAGATCTTCGGATTTAGCTCGGCAATCCTCAAGATAAAAGATGAGAAGATTTGTTGAACCAGTTTTCAAGACCGACGACCGAATAACGAAGAATAGTTCGGAAGAACCGAGGAGCGTCCCCAACTTGAAGACCGGTTCAGGGGGGCTACTGATGATGTCCTGGACTAGGGGTATGCACCAGTCGTCTCCCGGTCAGTTAGATTGGGCCGAGGACCCCCATGGTCGTTTACCCATGGGCCAGTTCGGACAGCCGACGCATACACGAGGAAGATTCCACAAGACTTGGTGATCAAGATAAGGACTCCTCTCCACCGACGTATTCGACTAGGACTCTTGTTATCCTAAGCCTCTGGTACATTATATAAGCCGAGGCCGGGCTAGTCAATAGGGATATGCTAGATCATTATGACATTATTCATCATACCCTTAGGTTTTAGACCTCAACACACGATCTCGAGGTATATCAACTCTTGTAACCCCTATATTCACCGAGTATAATCAAGCAGGAGTAGGGTTTTACCTCTTAGAGAGGGCCCGAACCTGGGTAAACACTGTGTCCCTCGTCTCCTGTTACCCATCGATCCATGATCCACAACTTGGGACCCCCTACCCCGAGATCTGTTGGTTTTGACACCGACAATGACGGGCCACAAACGTCATGCACGACATGACCGCGCACCTAACTCGCAAACATCCCTGTAACCGCGAGGGTCGGCTCTGATACCAATTTGTAACTCCCTAGACACATCCGTCGGTTACTAGTTGTTATTTCTGGCGGGATCTAGTCTGGCCCACATATCAACACTAGTCTTTCTTGTGCACTTTGTCCTCACTTGTGCGCACCTGGGACCAACTTCCTAGTTGATTACCCATCTTGAAATTGCCTCCAAGCTAAGCACACTTAACTTTGGAGTTCTTTCTGAATGGCCTCCCTTAAAAGAAGGAATTTCTTATTGATATGAGTAGTCTATCATCCCTATTAAGTCAGACTATCAGAAACAAGGACTCGATTGCTTTTTAGTTTGGTCTTCCAGGATCCAGTTTCCAAAGTGTCTAGATTGGGTGGTAATTTTCACTTTCTATCGGGTCCATCCGTAAAATGTTGTGTGGTTATCCAACATAACTCCGAGTCCTCTGGGGCCTTCCCTAAGTTGAGAAACTCTATGGGCACAATAAAATGTATCGTACAGGAATCCGAGTGAGTCCTTGAAGGACAATTCCAACAAATATCTTTCCTAGACTATCTAGCAAAAAAAAGGTGTCGATAGATACTAGTATTTAATTCTCATATGCACTAAAAGCTACACATCAGGAATATGACTCAACTGAACTTCTCCCACGGTTCATTTGCATGGCGAGGTCATTTGATTTTCTTACCCTCTGCATGTTGCTCTGGCGACGATGGTGGGGGTGTGCACTTCATTCCGACTTGTAGGTTGGGGTAGGGATTCATGGAGGCTCCAGTCGGATGAGAATGATGGCGGCTTCTTAAGGGAAAACTTTGTTTTTTTCACTCTAGTTTTTGCCCACTTCGATTATGCCACTCTAGAATTTGGCATCCCACTTTTGCAACTCTTAACTTTTGACAATACATCGCAAATGCCATTCCGTGGCAAAAATAATAAATTTTCATTTCACTTTCGCCACTCTTAGCTTTTGACAATGTATCACAATTGCCAATCTGAAAATTTTGCTTTTGCCATGGGATGGTAAAAGTGATATATTGTCAAAAGCTAAGAGTGGCAAAAGTGAAATTTCAAATTCTAGAGTGGCATAAGCAAAGTGGGCAAAAGTTAGAGTGGCAAAAACAAAGTTTTCCCTTAGATGTAGCGGGGCTCCAGCATCTCAACAAGGTCCCCAGAGACGGAGTCAAGGAGTCGATAGCGTAGATTCCTGACACTCTGGGCAATGTGGTTAGGGTTTTCTTGTTGGTATCTTGAGGTTGTGAGGCACGTATTGGTTGGGGAGATGGCGATGGCGACGTCACCAGGGATTAGGTTTCCGGCTTCGACCCTGTTATGGCGGTGCTTTCTCCTGTGCCGATGGGAAGCTAGATGGTGATCTTGTGCATGAGATGGTCTGCTCTGCTGCTCTCCTTCTTAGTAGTAGTTGAGAAGATTGTAGTGCGACGAAGAGAATGGTACAACGGTGAGGTTGGTGGGTGTCGGGTGGTAGCCTGGCCTTGATGATGGTTGGTGAGGGTTTTGATGCCAAATATGTACTAGGATCCCCCTCACAACACACCCAAACAAAAAAGAATCAAAGTCTAAAATGTTTGATTGAGATACATCCAAGGTATAGATAAAGCATGTCAATGCAAAGACCCGCCATCGGTTAATTGGTATCACGCCTCCCTTTTATATTGGTGCATGGTGGCTAAGGAGCATGGTGGGTGACGACGAGGTATAACCTGGAAGATCCTACGGAACTAAGTGCAATTTCTTCTCTATAAGGGGTCTTTTCGTTGTTGTACCAGAAAGTTGTGTCCCTTCTACATGTTTCCAGGGTGCCGTTGTATGTTTTGATTTTTACACAAACTTTTTATGTGTTTAATTAAATATGAGGTATTCTCTGGGAAAATGGAATGAGACTCAAGGTCTCTAAAGTGAAGAAGTTTTAATTACTCGGGGAACTCAATTCAACGTATCATATATGATACATAGGGGGTTTGGGGGTGCTAACACATCTGCTGCAGCGTTGTTAAAGAGCCACGAAGTTTTGTCCCCATTGTTCTTCATGTACAGCGGGTTTGGTTATCTGTGTTCTCCGTTGGCGTGCTCCATGTACGTAGGAGGCAGCAACATCGTCTTCTTCGACCATCTCTTCCTTTGAGGCTTTACGATAAAGGTCGCTGGCTTGGTCCGGCAATATTAGCGTGATTGTCTGCCTAGATCATGGTGTTCCCGTCGCTGATATGCTTGGCCCGATTGCCAGTCTCCGCCGTACACGATGGCATACTATTTGCAGCGATTCAAAAAGATGTGCTCCTCTACCTTCAAGGGCTTGTTTCTTGATGATGTCCGTTGTCCGCGTGAGCTACGGTCATGCAATGATGACCAGTTCAACCAAGTCATCGGCAAAAAAAAGAGGCACGTAGTCGTAGTATCCCTTTTATTTAGGGTTGTTTTGGGGGCTATTCTATATCTGATTGTATCTAATGTTCCGTTGATTTAATATAAATTTTAAGAAATATATGAGACATTGTTCATTTTTTAAATTGCCCCAAACACATTTTACACGGGGCTAAAACACTAGTGCTACAAGCATAGATTTGTAAAAGAGTGTGTTTCTTCTTCTGATGGGTTTATTATGGTACCATAGGTGTTTCCTGTTATTTTCCTCTGAAAGCAAATATCTCCGCGCAAAGCTAATATTTGCTGCAGAAATGACGTATATTAAATTTGATAGTTATTTCCCTCTCAAAGGAAATAGTCTTGCAAGCAGGATCTAATCATAAAACAATAGAAGGATCTATAACAAAATGGATTAACATCAGTCGATGTTAGTTTTGTATTTTATGTTCCCAAGTATTTGAAGGCCAAACTTGCCATGAAAGATTAGCCTTTACATACCATAAGCAATAAGCACACTGCTTATAGAATTCATTATTCCAATAAGTATCTGATAACGAATACAATGTCCTTGCAACAGCAAAAACAACCATTTACATGTCACCGTAATAACTGTAATCTCACATTTGACAGGACTGTCTTGTAATGTACATTGCACAAAAGAACCTTGTCCGAATTTTGCACATCCATCCCATAGATACAAGCATCCGACTCAACACAATTGAGTCGACGGTGGTCCACCAAATAATTCGCAAAGCCGATCCACAAGCACCCTCTTAAATGATGTTCTTATTGACTAAGTAATGTACAAACCACCATTCATATCAATTCACCCTTCACCCTTGACTCCTCTATAGGTTATGCAGCTCAGGCATTGGAGGAGGCACTTTTCTTGTGGAATATCGAATATGCATCACTGTACACTGCTACTACGTTCGAAGTGACTGCAAGAACAATCATGAAGATGGCCAGAATCTTGTCCCACTTTTTCGCTATGCTGTGTGGATCCCTGAGATATCGGAAGCCACATGAATTAGATCACAAAACAAAGGACTGTGTTAAAGAACTAAACCTGCCCTTAATTGTATTAGGTCTACTGCCCATTGATAAAATGGTCACATAATAAAGCCATAATCCACGAGCGCATTTCAAAGTCACCATGGACAGTGTTACAGCAGGTTTCTTTCTGCCTTATCTTAATTTGGTTAGGCACTGGTAGTGTGACATAGTAGAGGCAGAAATGAAGACGCGTAATCTATTATTTATTTTACGAAGATGGGAGGACGTATGATGAAAAACTTGAAAGTAGCAACTTACCTTAAAGTGATTGCAGCTGGGAAAATGAAGGCAATACAAACAGCAGCAGTAGCCCCGGTAAACTGGAAGGCATCCCAGATGCTAGGAATGAAGTTTGCGGATATGAAAATCACAAGGAGGAGCACCGCTGTCATTACACCAAACCTTCTGTTATCAGAAGATAAGGGCCTTGCAGAGGAAAAGAGAAGCCCATCCAGATTAAGCCGCAATGCGTGGAATATCATGGGGAACACGAGCATAAGGTGGATAGCATAGCTGACTCTGACAGCATCACTAAGAACTGAACTATATGGAATGCCGAGGTTTGAATCGAAGTTAGCGAGCACATCAGCGAGTGTAGATTCACCAAACAGAAGATATCCAAAGAAACTTGTTGTGATATAAACAGTTGAGCATAGAGCCAGTGATGTGTGCACTATTGGCTTGATCTGGGAAGACTCCTTGAGTTCATTATGGATTGGGTGAACTGCAAAATATCAATAGGATGCCCTTAGATAACAAGCAAGATACCTTTCTGGACATTAGCTACAGATTTCAAAAATATGTTTCAACTTTATGTTTTAAACCAATATAATCATTCTAGCTCGGTCGTGCATTTGTATTTTTATACCATTAACAACGAGATGCATGCGGTCAATGAAGATTTCCAGGGCATGCAACTTTACATATCTTATCGCCCATCTTTCTGATAACTTTCTTCATGATTTTTTTTCTAAATAAGGATAAGGATTATCTCGTACCGTTATAATGACAAACATAAGCAGTGACAAGAACTGGCACTGCTGTGAAAAGTTCCCAGACAGATGCCAAATCAGGAACTGCAGGGAACAATTTGGGCATCGGAATTTGTCCGTGTATCAATTTCACAATAGCAATTCCGGCAGTGATAACAACGAATACAACTGCCAAAGCAACAGATATGGCGGATGTATAGCTCAGTGAATCTGCGAGAGATAAACAAAAGAAATGTGTTATCAGATACTCATGAACAAAACATAGTAGCAGAATGCAGAACTAGCCAAAGGCTTCTCTTTTCGACAGAAGAAAAGAACAGTAATAGCCAGCTTTCTCAAGCACATCACTTACCGACACGCTTGAAACACGCTAGTGGAGTAAATACACCGAGAGTAGTAACCAGGAGAACAAAGAATCGCCCATTCCACCAGTGTGTACCAAACCATCCTTCTAATACACCATAGTGGTGCTCACCACCAGAGGACGTTCCAGAAAGCACATCACCTAGAGATAAAGAGTAGTTGGTTGTATATTAGAACCAATCCCCACAATTCAAGCACCAAGAACCGAGACCTTTACAAAAGGTGGCATTTAACCAAAAATGCAAAAAGTAACAAATATATATTCAGTGCTTCCACTTTGCATTTTTGTTGGGAGGTGTATATAGTGAAGGGGGAGTTAAACATTATGCAGCAACAAGAATGCAGGTGTACTGACCAAGCATCACCGGAGAAACAAATAGAGTTGACAGAAAAAGAGAATTTATTCGTCAATCACGCTAACACTGCATTTCAGTTAGTACATCAACATTTCTAAAAAGGCCAACATTTCTCTTCATCAACTCTGGAGTTAGAGGATTTATCAGAGCATTTCCACCTCCCTCTATCAGAAGAAGCTTTTGCTCAATTCAATGATTTGGTTCTCTTAGCTGCTGAGGTGCAACTTTCAACAGATGATGACATTTGGCAATACCCCTCTGTGGCTCTCAACTTTCAGGTCTCTAAAACCTATAAGCTCCTAATGGGGGAACACTTGGTTCTGCCTTCATTAAGTGGCTCTGGCATACCTGCTGTCAGTTGAAGCACAAACTTTTCTTTTGCCTCCTGGTGAACAACAGGCTTAACACTCGAACTCTTCTTCACAGAAAGAATTTCTACATTGTGATGGAGATAAGAGACCACTTATTCTTTCATTGTCCTTTTGCAAGGACATGTTGGTCATATATTTGCCCCAACTGGATGCCTCTGCAACAAGGTATTCAGGTAGACATGAACTCCCTCAAACTGGCCCTGGGAATACCATTTTCGTTGGAAATAATCATTCTAGTGTCCTGGATTTTCAAAGGCATCCCACCCAGCTTATATGCTTGCAGAAAGAAGTTCAAAACAGAGCTTGGATGGCTC